CAATAGTCCTGGAACCTCTGGTACCATCTTATGCCCGCACCTCCAAGACTCAGCTGTCATCCCAGCTTTGTACTGCTTTAGTCTGCGGCATATTCTAGGGTAATGGATAGCTCTCTATATACTATATAGAATAGCTACATGCTATTCTATATAGCATAGCATAACTACTAGTTATTCATATATATATCAAAATTATTAACAGTAGACATTACACGATACAGTTATAAAAAGTTAAGCAAAACTAAAACAAGTTAGGTAGTTGTTACCGACTCATTAGACAATTACTGTAGCAACTGAACAAGCTAAAACGGAGCTCCAAGTAAGCCAGGACGAGCTCAGACAAAATAAGCCTGAGAGCCCTAATTCTGAGGCTTTGCAAAGGTAGTACAAGGCCTGTGGCTGGCAACAAGCATGGCAGTACTGTCTTAACTGGGCTACAGGGCTACATAATGAATTGTAATCTAGTCAGTACAGTCAGTGGCACGTGGAGAGGTATTCAGCTCATACAGAGTCATTTAGTTAAAATAGTAACATAAGGCATATATAAAGGACTACCTTAATTGTTATCTTTCTTTACTGTTGGGAGACTGACTTTGTATCTTCAGAGCTTTTTGAAACACTTCTGTTAGGTAGCATGGCTTTTGAAGGATTGTATGAGTTCTGCATTAAGTAGCTAGTAATTTTGTGTTGCAAATCTAAAAGACATGAGAAAAGTGGATGGACATCTTTGGACACACAAAGGAAAGGCTTGAGATTTTACTGAAAATTTTACTCTCAAATATTTTGTTTCGAGTGAACGTCAACTTCTTGCTTTAAGGCCTGTTTTCAGTCTCCTCAGCTTTTCTAGAGACTCCTCTTTTCTGGGACTTCTCTTAAAAGTTTTAAAAGCAAGCCCTGTGAAAACTTCCAGAAGAAGGACACTAATTAAGAGTTGTATAGCATTTCTGGAATATAGTTATCTATGGCTTTTCCCTCATTGGAGCTATCAATCCCAAATGTCTCTAGTAGTAACTAGAGTAGTTCTATCAAAAGGAAAAATTGAACATTTGGTAAAGATTTTCTTATTGATTAGTAAAATCTTCAGTAAATGACCTAAGTGAATTTCATGTGGAGGAGAGGGATTTTGCTTTTATGATCACCTTTTCTTTGTTATTTTTTTTTAATTTTTTTTGTAGGGAGGCAAATTCAAGGAAGGAGGAATTTTTTTTTTAGTTTACTTTGTATGCTGAGGAATGTAGCAAATAATTCTGGTTCAGAACAAAGACTCCTGCCCAGTTGAAATGAGAGTTCACATATGCTGCCCTAGTAGTCTTCGTGATGTGAATATAGTACTGATGAAGTTACATGCAATAATGAGGAAAAATAAACCCAGCAAAGAAAAGAACTGCTGAGTTCCTACCCACTTACCCTTGATTTTTATATGTAAGCTGATCATTTATTTATGGACATAATTACTGTCCATAAGTCTAGTTTAAGCTTGCAGTTCATTTATTAATATTTTGTGATGTAAACTTGCTGTAAACTTTCTTCTGGGAGTAAAGAAAGCAAGGCAAAACCATTCATTGTTATCATTTTTAAGATTTGAGATGGGTGGTTATTTTGTATTTTTATTAAGTCAGAAAGTCTCAGACCTAGAAACGGCCGCTTTTTTTTTTTTTTTTTTTTTTTTTTACTTTCAGCAGTAACGTGTTGCTAAGTGAAAACATTACTTCATTTTGCAAAGCTGTTCTGTAAGAACCAAGTCTTTGGGTGTTTGATGGAGGCAAGAGACTCAATAAATAGCCTGTATTTTGTATACCCAAGTAGCCACAGGGTTTTTCTGTCACTTGGTTACTAACTGTCTTAGGGTCAAGATGAAACTCTGTGGAATATTTTTAGATCTGCAGTTTCTCAACGCTCTAACCTTGTTGTGTGTCCTGCCAAAAGGGAGAGGTTTTCATGTTCTGCTTTTGCCAGTTTTGGTGCTCCTAAGACCTGTGGTGAGTGAGTTCATCTCAGCGACCCAAATAGAAATTATCAGTCATCTTCTTTATTATTGCTGGGGTTATTTTCTGCTGTTTGAGTCAGTTCCCAGAGGCAGAAGTAGGCAGAGGTAAATGATGTGTATGGCTTTTTGTGAGTGGGGAAAGGGAGCAGGGCCTTTCGTTTGGCTGCTAGATCAGCTCATCTTGTCTTGTGAAAATGCAGCCTAACCATATGATTTCATTATCAGCCTCGGCCAACGTAAGACTACGTTGCTGTGAAAATGCTGTGTGCCTCCTCTGCCTCCACCCGACCTACGCGTTTGTCTCCTCTGTGATTATGCAGTTATGCAGTCAGCCACGTCAATGGGCTGAAGACTAACTCTGACCCCTGCAATAAATAAATAAATAAATAAAAGACTTACCGGTTCAGCTGAGTGTGCAGCTGCATGAGTGGGGAGAGCTGGCACAAGGAAAGA